AGATAATCTGTGTAGCCTGTCTCAGAGTTCCAGGCCTGGAACCCTGCCCCTTGAGTGCTGGGGTTACAGGTGTGTGCCACCATGCCTAGCTTCCAATCCTAAAGTCTTACCACATCTTTGTGATTTGGGTGGAGAGTAAAGGTTGATTACCACCACCTCCCCCCAGGTCTACCCCTCCCCTACACGTGTGCCTCGGAGGCCTGGTGACATCACAACCGAATCACTGCTTCTAATAACCGAATCCTTTCTCTTTTAGGAGGTGTTAGAACTGGCTTTCTCCATCCTGTATGATCCTGATGAGACCTTGAACTTCATTGCGCCTAATAAGTACGAGGTGAGCTGTGTGCCACATGTGTTCTGTGAACAGTGGCACCCCATGGCTGTGGCTCTGGAGGCGGGAGGAGCGGGCAGGACAGGGGCATGTGGCTCTGGAGGCAGGGGAGGAGCGGGCAGGACAGGGGCATGTGGCTCTGGAGGCAGGGGAGGAGCCGGCAGGACAGGAGCATGTGGGACAAGAGCAGGCGGGGCCGGAGCAGGCAGGAGCGCCCCAAAGCAGTGGCAGAGCAGGTGGTAAAGGCTCTTGGACACTGGCCTTCTATCTCCTGCTTGGCCTCTCCACATTAGTGTAGTGCTCACTATTAGAAGGACAGGTCTAGTTACTTCCTGAACACTAGAATTGTCTTTTCAGTTTCTCTTGGCTTCCTGCCAAGTGGACCCAACAGGTAGGCCCTCAGGGCTGCCAGTGACCTTGAAGCCATAGGGATCTGGTACAGACGAGGGCACAGAGTTCTACCTGCAGCCCTGGAAGGTACTGGGCATTAACTTCAGGAGAGACCCTGTGTGTCTGGGACTGGAGTGTCCAGTGGAGGACGTGTGCGCGCGCACGCGCGCGTGTGTGTGTGTGTGTGTACACGTGGGTGTGCATATGCCTAGGTAGGAGGGTTTGAACTCAGGACCTAGATGTGCTCTCTTAACTTTTTCCCTCAAGACTGTTGCTCCACCATTTGAGCCACAGCTTCCCTTTGAACTTTTTGGTGGTTAGTTGGACATAAGATTCTCATAGACTTTCCTGCCTGGGCTGGCTTCAAACCGAAATCCTCAGATCTCAACCTCCTGAGTAGTGAGGATTTACAGGTGTGAGCCACTGGCATCTGGCTTCTGAAGGGTAGTCCAGGCTAGTCTTGAACTCACGATCTGGCTGCTTCATCTTCCCCATTTATTACCAGTGCACCCACCATGGCTAGCCCAGTGGAGTTTTCCAGGCGGCACTAAAGGACCGGCAGGGGCAGGGCGGGTGAGCACGTGAGCAGGCACCACAGACCACTGAGGAGGGAGGGTGAGGAGTGTGTGCTGTTCTCCCCGCGCACTACGAGACCCCAGCTCTGTGTTTCAGCTTTTTGAACATTAAAGTTTTTAAATTTACATTTTGAAACAAACTTGAGGTCTTTAGGTGCCCTTGCTGTGACTGTCTCCTGTTTTTCACCTGTACCCTCAGTTTCTCATTTCAGAGGTGGCTTTGGGTAGGTGACCTTTGATAGCCTGTGTCTGTTTGGCTGTATTAATTCATTCCTATTTTTAGATTACATCTCATTGGGCTGGGAAGGTGCCTCAGTGATAGAGTGCTTGCCTAGCATGCATGAAGCCCTGGGTTCTATTCCTCAGTACCACATAAACAAAAAAGGCCAGAAGTAGAGAGTGTTAGCCTTGAGTAAAAGAAGCTCAAGGACAGTGCCCAGGCCCTGAGTTCAAGCCCCAGGACTGGCAAAAAAAAAAAAAAAAACCTCGTATGTTAAGGACTTTTAACATCAGCCTCCATAAAAAGCAGTCTCTTGAGGAAGCAGACCCCGCCCCCATCTTTGTGAATACCCCAGATCATAATGCCTGGACTATGCATGTCCCAAGGTGACCTGTGGCCCCATGTGACATTTCACACCTTGCCTGCAGTACTGCATCTGGATTGATGGCCTCAGCGCCCTACTGGGAAAGGACATGTCCAGCGAGCTGACCAAGAGTGACCTGGACATGCTGCTGAGCATGGAGATGAAGCTGCGGCTGCTGGACCTGGAGAACATCCAGATCCCCGAGGCACCACCACCCGTCCCCAAGGAGCCCAGCAGCTACGACTTTGTCTACCACTACAGCTGAGCCAGGAGCCAGAGACCGCAGGACCGGGAAGGAACTGGGGCCCAGGAGATACACTCGCAGTCTGGTGCCTTGTCTTTCACCTGTACAAAATCTGTAGTGATCACGGTGGCCAGTGAATGCCAGCCTCTCCTCAGACCCACCTTGGGCCGCACAGAGCTGCTCCTGGTCCAGGGAGTCAGGAAGGCAGGACACACTGCCCTCAGCACTGCAGAGCCTGGGGTGGGACCGTGAGGAGCAGGCCTCTGCCTTCAGTCCCAACCGGCCTTCACAGCAGCCACTCTTTTCTTCCTGTGCTTGCTCTCTGGTTGGCTAGGCCCCACAGGAGCCAGAGCTGGCCCAGGAAAGGCTGCCTGCGGAGCACAGGTGGGATGGCTGTGGTGAGAGCCTTGAGTGACTAGCTTTGAGTGGCCCGTGCCTGAGACTGAGATCTGAGGACAGGCCTTGGGCCTTGGCTTTTGTCTTCATGAGGGCTCACTCCAGCCTCCTCTGGTGCCAAGATGCTGCTGCTTCTGAGCTTTGGCTCTAACATCTCTGGTTTCTAGAGCTATCTGATCTCTTTTGCCCTTGCAGGTATCAGGGCAGATGGAAATTTCTCCTACAAGCTCAGTTCCTCATCCTGGCCAGGCAGAGACCTCTGGGCCAAGTCCTGCCCTCGGTCTCCAGGAATGCATCAGGGAAAGCCTGGCTGAAGCCTGGGCCTAGACTGGTGAGGTCTCAAGATTGTACAACCTTTGTCCCTAGGTTTAGCTTTTTTTTTCTGAAGGGCACATTCTTCCCCCAGGAATTTCCATCCCCTCCAGTGTGCTTTCCTTTGGCCTTCTAGACTCCAGGAAGTCTGCCTTCCCTTCCTGTCCTCCCTGGCACCATGGTATCTGCCGTTGGCCATGATTTCAGAAAGCTGACTAAGAGCACATGTATTAGCACGGTGGCATTCCATTCTGGCAGCCTGGCATGGTAGTACCACCCAATGAAGAGTGTACTTTATATTTTCTTTACTCTAGGCCATACTTATGCAGACATGTATATATATTTATAGAAGATCTACCTATCCTAGGATGGAATGTTGGGGGGAAAATAAAATTGAGGGTTATAAAAAAGTATTACTTCCAGTTGTAAGGTGAGAATGTAACCAGAGAGCTGGCAGGAGCTTCCTGTCAGTAACAATGTTTTCAATAAATACTCTTTGCTGTACCAACCAGTTCCTACTAACACTGTCTGTGTACTGACCAAGGGCAGGGGTCTCCTAGCAGCTTTCATTTTAGTGTGCCTGGAGATCTGCGAGCTCCAGTTGGAGCCCTTAGCCCCTGTCCTCCCCTTCCACACCCACACCTGTTCCCATCACCCAGACACACACCTGCTGGCTACAATGCTCAGATTGTTGCACCGGGACAAAGCGTTTCCTGCTTGGCACTGCTGGGAAGCATGCTCATTCTACACCCCCATCAACATGTCCTCCCTCTTTTCTCTGCCAAGGACACAGCCAGGGAACAGCACGAGTACTTGTGCCTTAAAAGAAGACACATTCTGCACCCTGCGTGTGGCCGTGCTTGGTGCCCAGCCTCCCCAGCTGGTGATTTATTCTGTTGCTCCAATCTGCAGCCTTGGTAGCTGGGAGATCTGAACAAGAACAGTGATGAAAATAGACTCTTTCTCTTGCCTCTGAGAGAACGGGGTGAGGGCAGTTCTTTCAGAAGGCATAGAAAGTACATCCAATTCAGACCTAGGGAAGCCAAAACCTTGGCTGTGATGGGTACCACTGTAGGCACTCGGTAAGCACTGAATGAACTGCGCTGAATGCCTGCATGGTGCTCCTGGCATTGCCAAGGGCAGCAGTTTGCTAAAGCACTGCTTACCCTGTCCTGGAGCCTCCTGTTCTCAGGGGTCAGGAGCCCAGCTGAGTCACTTGCAAGGACCCCTATTTGCAGCCAGCCCAGGAGGCGGCTGGAGGAGGAGGAAACACACAAAGCTGGGTTTCCGCGTGCAGCCTGAGCCTCTCAGACTTGATGGCTCTCTCTCTGCCGGCACATCTTTTAATTCATCCTGCAAGATGAATTAGGTCTGGATCTCTGGGCTGGCATTTTGGAGCCACGACAATCTGTCTCTTGTCTACTTAGCCCCCTTCCCCCCGCCGTGGGTTTTGGACCCCGTAACCACTCTGGCCCCGAGGCGCCTGGCTGGCGCCTTCTCGGCCCCCGACCATTCCGCTTCCTCATGGATGGCCCTCTCCCCGCAGCACAGACCGCGCGTGGAAGTGAGATCGTGCTTAGCGGCTCTCCCGAATCACTTGTGCAGGGATGCTGGCAGAGGAAGGAAGCCATGGGCTTGTCTTCCAGGCTCGGCCCGTGGTCGCCCGGTAGCCGGCGGGGACGCGGGCGCCATCGCAGCGGGGGCCCCGCCCCGCCCTCGGCAGCCGCTTCCGGCGGAAGTCCCCCCGCGGCGGGGGGAGGCGGGCCCTGGCTCGCACTTCCGGCAGGAGGATCCCTGCCCGGAGCGCCGGGGCGGTGAGTGGGCGCGCGGCGGGCGGCCCGGGGACCCCGCCCGGGCTCGGTGCGCGGCCGAGGCGGGCGCACTCGAGGCCGCGGTTTCCCCCGGGGCGGGAGGGGTCTCCCGCTCGCCCGGCGCGCGCGGCGCATCCGCCGGGGCGCGCCCAGATGGGGGCCGGGCGCCGCCCGCCGGGCGAGGCCGCGGCCCGCCGCGGGGTGGGGCGCTGGGAGCACGTGGACAAACACGGAAACGTCAGCTGGCGGGAGTGCCGGGGCCTGGAGGCGCTCGGGCCGGCCTCCGCCCGGCCTCCGCCCGGCGCGCAGGGAGGCGGCCGGGCTCCCGACGGGGCCGCGGGGGGGGGGGGGCAGCAAAGGTCGCGAGGCCTCGGCGTGGCCGCCGCCCTCGGAGGGTCACGTGGCCTTCCCTGGGTGCTGGGAGGACTCCAGGCTGTAGGGGCAAAAAGAGGAGCAGGGAGGCGGCCGCGACCCCCGCTGCAGGCCGCGGTCTGGAAGGTAATGGCGGGAGGAGAGGCGGGAGCGGTCGCTGGAAGGGCTGGGGCCAGCTCCGGTAGTAGAGCCTGCTCGGCGCCCAGCACAGCACCCCAAGAAAAGTGACTGGGGCTGGAGCTGACCGGGCAGCATTTGAGGAATTGGGGAAATTTGCATGTGACTTCACATAAACTGGGGACAGTGAGTAGGAACTTTCTACACGACTTTACAGTAAGTTGGAGGCACCAGGACTAAGATTTCTTAGGACATCTTAAGATTGGGCTGTCTCAAGTAGAGCAGTCGGACATCCTGAGTGCTCAGGAAAACTGGCTGGCAGGGGAAGAGAGGAGAGTAAGTCCATCTGGGAGCTGGTACTGAGGGCAGTGCCTGGGGCACACTCCCCTCCTCAGAGGCCCAGGCTTTGACCTGCTAGTAACAGTTGGACAAATCCAGTCCAAAGGTCAAGTTTTTCTGAGTCCTGCAGTAGCAGGTGAGGCTGCAGGATTTGCACTTGGGCCTCTGACTTCAAAGTTGGGGGGCACGGGAGCTGCCCTCAGCTTAGCTGCTTGTTAGAGAAAAGCAGGCCTTTCTCCCTGGCTTCCTGTGTGACCTGGATGCAAATGAGGAACTGCAAGTTGCTTACTGAGGTCATGAGCTGGGGATTTGGCTATTTGAAGGTGAGGCCGGTTTTGAACCGAGGTGAGACATGACGGTGTTGGAACAGAAACTTGGCGAAAGCAGGAAGTGTAAGAAGCTAGTTCATAGAAGGGGGCTTGGAAGCCCCTGGAAGGGGTGGACGCCCGGAGACAGCCTTCCTAGTCCCACCTGCCCCAAGACCTCCTGTGTGGAGTAAGCAATACCCTCCCCCATCCAGTGCCAGCTTCTCCCACTGAGCTTCACCCCTGCTCCCAGCTAACATTTGTGCATTTTAGGTGTTACAACATGGGGTAGGAATGTTTCTAGCCTCCAGTGGGTGGAGGCCAGATATGCCTGCTAAATGAACTCTAATACACAGGACAGGCCTTAACCCTCAAAAATTTACCCAGCCTCAAACACCAGTAGAGAGAAACACCAAGAGAGAAACACTAGTGGCAGAAGAGAGTGGGCCTTAAAGGCTATTGTATGTATGTTTGAGGCCATGCACCTCCCTCCCTCGTTCAGGCTGGGAATGGCAGGTGAAGCAGGAGCTCTGCGAGGGGCTACTGCAGTGGGTGGGAGGAGTGGGGGGCGGGGGCAGAGTGGCGGGAGCCGGGCAGGCTCAGCTGCGGTAGAGGTTAGGAAATGTGGCTCATTTCTGGAGAGTTTTTGAAGATGGTGGTGCTGGCACTTGTTGGGGCTCAAGAAAAGGGTATCAGGAATGAGAACAGGGCCATGGGCTGTGCCCAAGGTGGATGGCAGGATTGGCTGTGGGTGGGGGGCTAGAGACCCCCTTTACTCAGACATGAAGGTAAAGAGGTCAGGGCAGCAGTGGGGTGAGCCTCTGGGGAACAGAGTGGGATGCACGTGGGGGGGGAGCTGCTTCGCCCCCATCCCCAATCCACGGTTCCAACTCGCCTTCTACCACAGCCATTTCCTAACAACTTTTATTATCTTGAAATGAAACTTGTGATTAGTAAAAACTGCCTACACAGAATTTTTAAAAGTCAATGGTGCCCTGACTATAATTTGGAAGGAAAGTAATTGACAATAAAATCAAATGTGTTTCATCTGTAAGTTCGTGCGTACAAGGGAGCTGGAGGCAGAGTGTGGCAGCCAGCGCAGAACATCTGGGCGCGTGGCCGCCATCAGTGCACCGAGCTCTGGTGAGCCCCGGTGTTGGCAGCTCAGATACCTTGGTGCCGTTGCTGCCTGTGACATGGGTTTTCCGGAATGGAGAAGGGGTTAAGCTGCTCCTCAGTGTGTCTGGTAATTGTGTTCCTGGCAATTTCAGGAACTAGTAGAGCCGAGTTCATAACTGAGCTAGGTTCTGGTTCTGCCTACAAGAATGTCAGAGTCCCACAGAATGCAGACCACTTCTTGGTTGTGGCACCTTTGTGGTCCCTGCCAGGATCACCCCCAGTTCCAAAGCTGTTCTGAAAAGAGCCATGGCCCCGGGTGCCCACGGGATGCGGGCATTTCTGATCGGTGATCCTGGGAAGGCTCAGAGGTAGCTTTTCAGTGGGATGGGGAGATGACAAGGGGGAAAGCAACACAATGAAACAGGTGTGCTGAGGGCGGGTCCCCGGTGCCCCTGAACCCTCATCTGGGTCCCTGGAATGCCAAGAAAGGGTAGTGGTTAGACATGCTAGGACCCTGAGGTGTCACCTTGGGGTGAGTGACTGGAGGCTAGAGCAAGGTAGATTTGGGGATTCCTGGCAGATCCATCCAGTGTAACCCTGAAGAATCGTGTGTGTGGCAGGCGTGTGTGTGTGTCCTGCTGTAACTCCCGGCCAGGACACCAGGCGCTGGGGTGGAGTCAGTGGGGCCCCACCCTCCTAGCATGGCGGAGGCTCTGGGCTCCATCCCTAGCCCTGACTAGATCCATAAATCACACCCTACTCCTGTGCTTTGGAGGGAAAGTAGGGGCTCTTGGAGTGGGCAGAGCAGGGTATTGGGGAAGTGCTTGAGTAAGTGACAGGGTGGTCTGAAGCTACACAGGATGAACAGAGGAAGAACTGAAGGCTGCAGGGTTTCTGTTCTGCAGCAGGATGGCACCTGGGGGCTGGGGAAGTGAAAGGCTGCGGTGAGAGCCAGGGCTGGACGGACCAGCCTGACCAGGTCTCCTCTTCAGGAGAAGAGCTCTGGGAGCTGCAGCAGGGTGCGCAGTGTGGTCTGACGGGTTGGGTGAGGCAGCTGCAAAGGTCAGGGCAGCCTGGGCTCTTGGGAGCCATGGCCCCCTCAGCCTCCCTGTGCCCTCGCTTGCCCTTGGCCCACGCCACCAGAACTGCCTTTTGATCTTTGCAGCAGCAGCAGAGCTAAGGATCTGTGAGCCCTGCGTCCTGCCAACCATGGAGCAAGTGGGCTGAGGCCCCAGCCTGGGGCTCTAGCCACCATTCCAGCGATGGCTGTGAAGAGGGCTCTGCCGGCCCAGGCAGCTACGCGTTGAAAGCCGCCATCCAGCTGCACCAGCTCGGCCTGTGGGCTGCCTTCGAGAGCCGTGCCTGTCCCTGCCGGCCCTGGAGCTGGGGTGCCGCAGCCCCCACCAATGGGGAGGTGGGCCCTGGACCTGGCCTTCGTGTGGAAGGCCGTGTTGACCCTGGGGCTGGTCCTGCTCTACTACTGCTTCTCCATCGGCATCACCTTCTACAACAAATGGCTAACGAAGGTAGCCGGAGGCCTTGCCGGGGCTGGGGCTGGCAGGGAGGAGGTGGCTGGGCATGTGGCCAGCCGGCATGTGTTGGAGGTAGCCCTTGGCTGGATTGACCTCCGGGCTGCCACTTCTTTGGGTGGCCTCTAACACGGGACCAGTTTCTTCCTGGTCTGTGGTCCTGGGGGGGGGGGCACAGGCAGTGCCTCTGAGAGTGGCTCGTGCTGCCCCAGGATCGGGGTGGCCTCGGGTGGACGGCCGAGCGCAGGCAGCCTGGCGAGCCTGGCCTGCCTTGTGCCCCGCAGAGTTTCCACTTCCCCCTCTTCATGACCATGCTGCACCTGGCCGTCATCTTCCTCTTCTCCGCCCTGTCCAGGGCGCTGGTGCAGTGGTCCAGCCGCAGGGCCCGTGTGGTGCTGAGCTGGACTGACTACCTCAGGAGAGTGGCCCCCACGGGTATGTTCTGGCGGAGGCCCAAGGTGCTGGGTAACCTTGATGCTGGGCACCCCTCTTCCCACTGTTCCCATCCCCCACTGCCTCCCCGTCTCCCCGCCCTGCCACACACCTCAGAAGGCACGCTACAGAGTGTGTGTGTGGGGGGGGGAGGCCCTTCCCAAAGCCAGCTGGTGCTGGTCTGGACAATTTCCTAGGCAAGGCCTAAAGGAAGGGTGAGACCTGGGAGGGGCGCTGGCCCATAGCGAGGTCAGAAAGGCTGCTGGGCGTGTACTGAATACTGAGAACTCCACTCTGGGAGGGAGGAGGAGGAGGGGAGAGCAGGGTCCAGGTGCCCTTTAAGGAGTGTGGAGTTTCACCCCATGGGAGATGAGTTAACAAATAGAAGAGCACAGGAGGCAACCAATCAGAAAGGAGTCCACCTCTAATGCTGGAGCAGACTTGCCCCTACTTTTGGCCAATGTTAACTCTTTGGCTGCTGGCGGGGGGTGGGGGGCGCTGTGGTTTCCAGACAGGACGTGTGAGGTGCCCTGGGCACCTCCTGTCAGCCACCTTGGCTGAGTGTCCTGTGCCCGTGCCAGCTGCAGCGCTCCTTGTCTCCACAGCACTGGCAACAGCACTTGATGTGGGCTTGTCCAACTGGAGCTTCCTCTACATCACCGTGTCACTGTGAGTACCGGCCACGCCCTGCCACCTCCCTTCGGGCTCGAGCTGTCTGTCCAGCTGGCAGTCTGCTGCGCACCGGGCGACGGGCCAGCCACTCCACCGCTCTGGGACCAGCCCTTGCTCTCTCAGCTCCTCCCTGGCACCCAGCAGCGCTCCGGAAGTCTCCACTCCTCCGTAAGCCCAGTGTAGAGGGACGCTCCGCCTGCCTGCCAGGCAGCAGGGGGTGCCAGGGGGTGAGGACAGAGCCGTCCCAGCCTTGGGGAGGGGACCTGGAGGGCAGGCTGTGCAGGAGTCGGTTCTTCTCTGATCGCTGGCCTCAGAGCTCAACCCTCCACCCCCCACGCGCTCGCTTTGTCCCCATTCCTCATCCTTCCTTCCTTACCTGGTCGTAATGAAGGTCAGGTAGAGTGTAGCAATGTCACACCCGCAGCATCTCCCTGGCTACTTCAGATTCTGCCGTGAAAGGTCACTTGTCAGTCAGACGACTTAGGCCCGCCCTGGAGGTCTTCTGTGCCCAGCTTTCCCTGCTGGCCTCTGGGGAGCAGGGCAATTTGCCCTCTTCCAGCCCACTGATCTATGCCTGGGTTTTTTTTTTGGGGGGGGGGCAGGTCAGAGCCCCAGGCTCCAGCAGTGCATTGTGGGTAATCTCTTCCAGGTACACAATGACCAAATCCTCTGCCGTGCTGTTCATCTTGATCTTCTCTTTGATCTTCAAGCTGGAGGAGCTGGTGAGGCCCCCCATCTCCTGTCCTTTCTGCCCTGCCATGCCCAGAAGGAAAGGGGATCTGAGCGAGCTTGTCACCAAGTGACAGGCTCAGCCCAGGTTGCAGCAGTGCCCTCTCCTGAGGAAGACCTGGGCGAGAGACGGTGCCAGCATGTGCGGAAACAAGGGCTGGGCGCCCACAGAGGGAGGAGAGAGGGCTTGGCCGAGCTGGGCCCAGGGGTCTCTGTGTACCTGACGGCGCCCACAGAGGGAGGAGAGAGGGCTTGGCCGAGCTGGGCCCAAGGGTCTCTGTGTACCTGACGGCGCCCACAGAGGGAGGAGGGAGGGCTTGGCCGAGCTGGGCCCAAGGGTCTCTGTGTACCTGACGGCGCCCACAGAGGGAGGAGGGAGGGCTTGGCCGAGCTGGGCCCAGGGGTCTCTGTGTACCTGACGGTGCCCCGTGGCTCCTCAGCTGCGGGTGCTCGGGCCCTGGCACAGGCATCAGAAAGCACCACACTATTGCAGATAGTGGGGCTGTGCCAGCCAAATGCCACCCCTGCACACATCAGTGGGCAAGGCCTGGTCAGGACCAGGAAGGGTGAGGGGACCGCTGCGACCCCTGGAGTCCAGGGTCCCTGGGCCAGCGATGCCTGCTCTCCCCCTCCCCCGCCCCCCAGCGTGCAGCCCTGGTCCTGGTGGTCCTCCTCATCGCCGGGGGTCTCTTCATGTTCACCTACAAGTCCACTCAGTTCAACGTGGAGGGCTTCGCTCTGGTGCTGGGGGCCTCGTTCATTGGGGGCATCCGCTGGACCCTCACCCAGATACTTCTGCAGAAGGCTGAGCTGGGTGAGCATGGGAGAGGGTTACACACGAGGGTTGGAAGCTGTGGGCGTGGGCCGCGCCTCACAGCACCCTGTCCCTGTCCCGTCCCCTAGGCCTCCAGAACCCCATCGACACCATGTTCCACCTGCAGCCTCTCATGTTTCTGGGGCTCTTCCCTCTCTTTGCCATATTTGAAGGTATGTTGTGTTTTCCACCCCGGGGCCACCTCAACTCAAGGAATCCCAAACCCTGACTCTGAGCCCGGGCTGCTGCTAGCCACAACCATTACCGGGATCGGGCACAGGCCCTCCCCCTTCAGCCATGGCTTGGGGCTGGACAGACACGCAGACAGCGTGGTTCGAATCGTGTGTGACAGTGTAGCACAGAAAGTGCATAAAACAGGAGACAACACTGCCTACACAGGGCCAAGGGGCACCAGAATCACTCGCATTGTTCTGATCCTCCCCAAACTACGTGGGTAGTGTTGCCAACCCCATTTTGCAGACAGAAGAAACAGACATAGAGACATGTCCCATAGCTTGGGGATGAGCTGCTCACGGGCAGGTACTGAGCCAGCTTGCAGGTGGGGAGTGGGTGGCTGGTCGCCAGACTTGTGCCGGAGGACAAGCGGCCCGGGGGCTGGAGACGGAGCACCCTCCCCTCTTCGTCAGCTTGCAAAGACACAAGACAGGCAAGAAGACCTGTGCGGGCTGGCGGGGCCTGGCTTGCCTTCCTGCTCTGTTTTGGGATTAGTCTTTGTCTCCTGCCTGTTTATCCTTCCTCCCAGAGTCCCAGTGTCCTCGGGGTCATTACAGAAAATTCCATCCCACATCCATTTAAGTTTCAAGCAGTGAAGCGTCTCCAAGCTCCCTGAGAAAATTATTCCGCAGTCCCGTTGTCCAGGAAACTTGTATTCGTTCAGAGCCGCGTGTTTTTCTTTTTAAAAATCTCTCCCTAGCCCTTCATTATGCCCTTTGTACCAGGTGCCAGGCTCCCCCCTCCCCGGGCGTCTGCGGCACAGCGCGGCCCTCATCCGAAAGCCCCTCATCGTCCAGCCCCACTTAGCAGAGCTGCATGGATTTAGCTCCTTTAATCTTTTCTGGTAAATTAATCCCCCAAGCTCCTTCATTACTTATGTTGCTCTTCCCCGAATTCCCTTCAATTTGCCAGGGCCTTTGCATTGCTGCTGAGCCCAGCACCAACAAGATGTCCTACATTGTAAAGCGGCCGTCCTGCGGAGGGGGGGCGCTGGCACTGTGCCTTTATGCTTCCTCCACGGAAAGTCCCAGGGTTCCTTTCGGCTTCCCGTTCCCACAAGTGTCTGTGTTGTGCTGAGTGGGAGCAGCTTCACTCCCTGCTGGTGCCCAGGGACCTCGCTGGGGGTGCGGCCGAGGGGAGCGCTCTCAGAGAGGGGCTGCACAAAATGTAGCGTGTGCTCTGGTTGCCGGTTCACGTTTATGTATCTTTTCTTTTTGAGGAAGGTCCATTTCTCGTTGGGGAAGTACCTGAGCAGCTCCATGGCTGAGCACCAGGGTCACATTACAACTGTTCAGCTGGGTGGGCACCAGTGGCTCACACCTATAATCTAGCTACTCAAGGAGGCTGAGATTTGAGATTCATGGTTCAAGGCCAGCCCAGGCAGAAAAGTCCCCGTGAGCTGTTTGTCTCCAATAAACCAGGCCCTGAATTCAAGCCCCATGACTGACACAATGCTGCGGCCCTCTGTCCCAGCGCCCGGGCTCAGCTCCCTTTTCACTGCTATCTGTGCAGCCCCGGACCCCGCCCCCGCCCCCCCAGGCTCATCCTCTGTGAGGACTGTCCCCTGATGGTCAGCAGGCGCTCCCGGGTCTCCACTGCAGCCGCTATGAAGCCTGGCTGGCTGGTCCTGTACCTGGCCTCCCGTGCTCTCTTCCCCGTTGCTTTCAGGTCTCCATTTGTCCACATCTGAGAAAATCTTCCGTTTCCAGGACACAGGGCTGCTCCTGAGTGTGCTCGGGAGCCTCTTCCTTGGCGGGATTCTTGCCTTTGGTTTGGGCTTCTCTGAGTTCCTCCTAGTCTCCAGAACCTCCAGCCTCACTCTGTCCATCGCTGGCATCTTTAAGGTACAGAGGAGCAGCCTGGGCCTCTCTGAGGCACCCTGTAGACCCTACCCTGTAGCTGCCCAGTTAGGTGAGGTGCTGCGCTCCCTCTGCGCATCCCGTGGCCCCGGGGGTGGGCGATGGTCCCCATGGCAGAGTTAGGCACCCTGGAGAGGCCCCTGCCCATATAGGCAGCTGGGATGAGTTCACATTTTCCTCAAGTGCAGTGCAGTGCTAGTCATGTGGCTGAGATCTGGGGCCAAGGGTCAGTGGTCTGTCCATTCTCACTGGAAAGCTCCGTGATCGGGGTGTGGTGCGACTGGGTGGTAGCGTGCGTGTGGGAACCCCTGGGTCCTGCCCCAGCAACACAGAAAACATGAAGAGCTTGTGCCCGATGGGCGGTGCTTGCCGCAACCTGGCCAGGGACAGTCGTGACATCACACGTGGTGTCATGCGGCCGGGGCTGCCGCCTGTCCCCTGCTCTTCTCCTTTTTCTCCCCCTCACCATTTCTCCAGTCTGGCAGGTGCAGAGAGGATTTCCCCCTGTGACCAGCAGACACCCTAGAACTAGAATGCAAGGGTCTCCTGTCTGCCACCTGCCAAATGATCAGGCCTAAGCCTCGGGCTTTAGAGCGATGGCTCTGCAGACCCATTTGTTGTGTGAGGCCACCTGTGAGTGCCCGGTGCCCGCGGCACGCCCCGGCTCTCCCGTCACTTCTGTGGAAAGCACCTGCAGGGCTGCAGGGCCGTAGGATTGCCGCAGGCTCTGTCCTGGACCTCCACCCTGCAGCCAGCCGGGCCCGCCCAGGTGGGAGGGAGTCTGTCGGTCTGGCTGTAGGCTTCAAGTGCACCGGACTCACCCTCCTGTGCCCTCCTTGCCCAAAAGCCAGCTCCAGACTGTGCCCAGCCCTCAGCCCTCTTCTCTGCCCACAGGAAGTCTGCACCCTGCTGCTGGCGGCTCACCTACTAGGCGATCAAATCAGCCTCCTAAACTGGCTGGGCTTTGCCCTCTGCCTCTCGGGAATCTCCCTGCATGTAGCCTTGAAAGCCCTGCATTCTAGAGGTATGGAGCCTTCCAGAAGCCTCAGCTTTTCCCATGTCAGCCCCCTTCCCTGACGCTGAGTGCCTCCGATCACCCTTCCCCTGGCTGCCAGCCTGCCACCAGCTCGGGGGGGGGTCACGGGTCACCTGGAGAGGGCGCGCGCCCTGGCTGCACAGGTCACTGGTCTGTCTTCTCAAGGGGACGGTGGCCCCAAGCCCCCAAAGGGCCTGGTGTCCAGCCCGGACCTGGAGCTGCTGCTGCAGAGCAGCCAGCAGGACGAGGACACGGAGGAGCCCAGGCGCAGCAGTGACCACCCGGAGGACCTGCGCCCCTGCTGCCGCGGCCTTCGACACCCCGACGCGCCAGCAGCTCAGAGCTGGCAGAGGGGTCGCCCTGCCCGGAGCCCGCAGCAGTGACCACCCGGGGACCTGAGCCCCCGTTGCCGCAGCCTTCAAGACCCCAGCACCCCAGCAGCTCAGAGCTGGCAGAGGGGTCGCCCTGCCCGGAGCCCGGGCCTGGCAGTCGCTGGGCAGGACCCTGCAGTGGGCCGGGGCTTCTGGCCTTGCCCTTCCCTCTGAAGCTGGAGCCTGCCCATGCTGTGCTGGGAGCCATGTTGGACCATGGCAGTGAAGGGGTGAGCTCTGCTGGCCTAGCTGGGAGCCAGCATGGCCTCCGGGGGCTGGGGGTGGGGCCTGACTGGGCTGCCCAGCAGTTGGGAAGTGGACCTTAGGAGGCCAGGTCCTCATCATCTGGACTGTGCTCATAGAGAGCAGATCTATTTACAGTTTGGAGATGAATGTCAAAGTCCACTGTTGTGTGGTCCCTCCCCCGACCCCCCACGGCAGGGCAGGGGGCAGAGCAGGGAGAGCCGGCCTCCTGCTGCTCTCCTGCTTCTGTGCTGAGCCTAGGCATCCTTGGGGCCCCTTCACTCCTGCAAGCAGGAAATAAATGAGCACTTGCTGGAGATAACGTTTTTAGTGCAGATGTGAATAGTGTCTTAGCCACTAAGTAGCTGTGTGACCTTTAGCAAATCATTTAACCTCTCTGTGCTGTAGTTTTTTCATCTGTGAAATGAGGTTATCTCTCACTGGTTCTAAAGATTCTTTTCTTTTCATCTGTTGCCATTATTTATTTTTAAAATCTCTTTAATAAGTAGCCAACAGGCCAAGACCTACAAAAGAAAGGTAAAGAACTTATTAAGTCCGAGGGCTAGGGAGGGCCTACAGAGCCTCTCTGCTGCCCCTCCTGCGCGGGAGTGTGCTTCTGACCTCGCAGCAGGTGGCGCCAGCGGCCTTGCCAGGATTCCCAGCTACGCCCCACACCCCTTCACACCCCGCAGCAGAGGGACCCCTGCGGCCGGCGGTGAGAAGCAGGACCGGCCCGAGAAGCAGGACCGGCCCGCGGGCGGCGGCGCCTGCGCTCCCCGCGCAGCCAGGCGGGCCTGGCGCCTCCGAACCCAGCCAGTCAACGTTTTCACAGACCGAGTAAATATTTCCTGTCTGGGGACCATATGGCATCTGTCACACCTCCCCATCGCCACAAGAAGCAAGCTTTGGAGTGCCGAAACACGGTGTGGCCGTGTCCCCAGGAACCTGCGTGTCCCCAGGAACCTGCGGCCGAGAGGCTGGGGCTGGGGGGAGGGGCACACCGGGCCCTGCTGGAAGCCGGCTTTGTGCCAGATGGACGCATTCAGAACGGGATCAGGTTCGGATCCCTCCTCAGAGCTGAGTTCCAGCCCCAGGACGGGTGGGGAGAGGCTGGGCGGAGAGGGAGCAGCGCCCGCTGGCTCAGGTGGCCGAGGGCTCCTGTCTGCTCCCCGGGCTCGGAGCTGCCTGTTGTCTGGGGCGGTAATTACAGGGTGCGGCCAGAAGCCCGCACGCACGGCACACGTGTTGGGTTCAGTGACAGCCCCTCACTTAGCGGCAATTACCAGCCAGGCCTCCAGGAGGAGCCCCGCCTCCCGCAGCCCCCCGCCGCCGCCGCCGCCGCCGCCACCTGGTCTCGGGGCTGCTCCGTCCAGCCTGGACTCCCCTGACTCCCCGTGCTGCCTGCAGCCACTGCATGGCAGGGCTGCAGCGTGGCCATGGCCACCCGCGTGCAGGTGGAGGAGCCGGGGGTGTGCCCGGCTCCCCAGGCTGCGGCGCCCGTGCCCAGCTCCCGGCCCCTTCCTCTGGGCGGGAGGGGCGGTGGGCCGCTGACCCGCAGGTCTGAGCTTTAAGTGCTTACATGCCCGCTCCTCTCCCGGGAGCCCGCGGTGGGAGGAAGGTTAATGCCCCCAATATACTAGGACGTCTGCAGTTGCTGCTCGCAGGGAGGCTGAGCCATCAGGGCAGGCGTGAAGTACCTGCATCTTCATTCTGCTCTTGTCTGCCTCCACCGCGGGGCCCAGGGATCATCTCCATTTGTGTCTGCCTCGCGCTGCTCTGAAAACCCAGGGGCTCCCCGTCCCCAGGAGGGTCTCTCCCTCCCTTTCTTCTCTCCCTCTCTCCCCCTCTCCTCCCCCCTCTCTCTCTGCATCATGAGCTGGTGATGGACTGAGTTGGGCCCCCAGTTGGTAGTGCAGAGAAGCAAAGGTGGAAGTCCCAGTCATGCACTTAGAACAACAGCATGGGGGTGGGGGGCACGTGGCAGGCATTGTTCTTGGAGCCCCCACTCCAACCCAGGGAAGAGATGGCCAAGGGGAAAGGCAGAGGGGGAAAGCGCTTTAGGAGAAGCTGCTCACGACACCCTGGGCCTCCACGTGGCTCCATTCACCCCTGCCAGCCAGGTGCAGCAGGAAGTGAGTGACACACCCATTTTGTGGCTAGAGAAGCTAAGCTTGCAGGGAGCAAGGCTGAGTGTCCAGGAATAGAGCAGGCCGCCGCCTCAGACACCACAGACCCACGTGCTTTATGTGCAGAGACCTGGGGGGGGGGGTGCTGTGTCCTTGTTAGAAGGGCCGGTAACGGCACATCTGTTAAGGCTGCGGCAGAGGGGCCTCCATTGCCTCCATTGCCTCAGCATCAGCAGTGTCACAGCCCGCTTGGTGACAAAACAGCAGCAGAGCCCCGCCTTCTAAGGCCTCCATCCTTGCTACAAAGCCTGGCCCAGAAGCCACCCCAATCAGCACTTGCTCTGCAAAGGGAACCGCCAAGCGGGGGCATCAGAGGCTCGAACTTAGAGATGAGTTGCTGTTCACACCCCCCACCTGCCATGCCCGCAGCCTCCCTGTCCAGCCTGTCCCCGGCCCACAGCCCAGCCTGGCCACGCCAGCCCCCCGCCCCCCTTCAGAGTAGCCAATGAGCTTGACTTCTAGTCCCAGGATTATTTACTGTTTCCTTGGCAACTAGTCCATTTCCCTGTGCAGGCCTCCAGGCTGGCTGGCATCTGCTGGTGGGGCTGTGCCTTCCTCCCGACCCTGACGAGAACTCTCCTGCTGGGGACAATAGAGGGACAGACAGAGGACCCGAAGAAAATGCATTAGAATGCATCCAATCAGTGTTTCTCCAGCATCTGCAACACACTGCCTCCGTGCTCCATGCTGGAGATAATAGAAGTCATTAAAACCCTGTCCCTGTCCTCAAGGAACTTCTTCAGGGCTTTTTAACCCAGCGGGTCCCTGGAAGCAGACTGAGAAATGCAGATGAGCCCCAGATGTTAACTAGAGTGTGGATGGATGGAGACCAACCAGACTGGGCAGAGAAAGAAGCTGAGCTTCAAGGAAGACCCCACAAGAAGGCCACAGCACAGCCCTCCAGACACTGGAACAGGGGTCACCCTCGGTACCCAGAGACAGGTGAAAGTCTCAGACCCGCCTCTGAAAGATGGGGCCTGGGGTGAAGCCGTTTTCTTCTAATCAAGGCAGCCCCCCAAGTGACTGACAGCTGAGGGCAGTCATGTGCTGACCATGTCCCTTGGGCCTGGTGGAGGACATCCTCTGTTCCCAGAGCGGAGGTTGGGCGCCCAGTGTCCACCCTTGCCAGGCCTCAGCCTGACCCCAGAGATCCTGAAGAGGACAGCTTCAGCTGGTGCGGATGTGCACACATGGTTTCCCCAAAAGAGGAGCCGCCACTGGTCTAGGGGAACTTAGGCTTGTCCAAAACCTCAGTAGGATCAATAAATATGCAAGGATGGATGGGGTGGGTGGGTGGGTAGATGAGTGGGTGGATGGACGGCTGGATGGATGGGTAGGTGAGTGGATGGATGGATGGGTAGGTGAGTGGATGGATGGGTGAGTGGGTGGGTGGGTGGATGGATGGATAGGTGGGTGGAATAGTGGCTGAGTAGATGGGTGGATTGGTGGAAGGCTGGGTGGGTGATGGATGAGCCAGTAGATAACATAATAGAAGAAAGTCTGGGAGGCATAGGAAAAGGAGTAGGAGCCAGTTCTGTCTGGGTCAGAGGAGGGTGGACCTCCAGGGAGAGCTCACCCTTTTGAGCTGTGTTTTGAGGACTATGTAGGAGTTTTGCTAAGTGGACAAAAGAGGAAAGGCAGGCACATCACACGGAGAAGGGGGGACTCAAAGGCGCAGGGGAGGCGGGGGTGGGGTGGGGTGGGGCATGAGGACAGACTTGGGGCTGTGAGAGTGAGTCCCCCACTCTGAAATCACTGCTGTTGGCCATCCTGCTTTCCACGGCAGAAACCTCCACTGGCTTGGAGAGGCTGAGCCAGTTGCCCAAGTTCACTGGCCTCCTTAGCCACCAAGCAGGAGCCCTCCTCTCTCCGGGCTGAGCCTTCCGGGGCCCCAAGCCTTCCACCCCCCCCCCCACTGGGCCACCTGCGGCAGGGCTGGCACGCCTCTGCCCTCTGGGGCCTGGGTCTCTCCAGTTGGGCACAGTAATAATGGCCCTCCACAGGGGCCAGGGCCCCGCGGGGCGGCCTCCTGCTGCTAATATTTTGCCCTGGGACGGATCCCCCACTGTGCCCTGCCTCCTGTCCTGTTCTGGGCCTGGCCCATGAATTAAACATGCCCTCGTGGTTAACTCAGTAATGCTTTTATTAATAGTTAATTACTCAACGCGCACTGGGGAAATGAGACTCACTCAGGCCTCGTAAATTAAGGCAGTGATCTGGTGAAGGCCGCCGACGGGACTTCATTACCCCGGCCCCTTCTCCGGCTCTACCTCTGGGCTTGCCATTTAGCGGTGCTAGAGAGGACGTGCGGGGTGGAGGGGCAGCAGGACAGGGGCCGCCGCAGGGGGAGCGGGGACAGGAGGGGGAGCTGAGCGGCTTCCTCCCAGAGACAGGAAGAGCTAGGAGAAGCTGAGAGGAGGGCCCGGGGAGCAGGAAGGAAGGGCCAGCTAGGAAATGTCATTTTGCACCTGAGAAGCTGGTCATGGGTCTGTGTTCCCTGTCATTCCCCAGGGATTCTCAGGCAGGATAAGGCCCTCTGTGCCCGGTGAGGAACTCCCCTGCTCGTTCTGGGCCTACCCCTCACAAGCCAGCAGGACCCTCAGTCAAGATGTTCCTAGAACCCACGGACGCGTCCCTCCCTCTCCCTCCCTCCCTCCCTTGTCTTCTAGGTGTTAAGGCTTCTACCCCTTCTAGGCTTCTGTAAAGCTAAGGCCACTTTTCCATCCAGATTCTGTGTCAGGGCTGGACTAGCATCCTCTCCTAAACTGGCCTGGCTTTTTAAAAATTGAACTTTCTCTCATGTTCTGTTTCCTGGGAGATGGAAACCCCTGCCTCAGTCTCCAGGAGAAGCTAGCCTGCGGTGTGCCAGAGCCAGCCCCTGCAGCTTGTACTCCTTAAGTTTAATTTCCAGCCATGTGTGATGCCACCTCCATCCATTTCCACTTCTGCAAATGAGGATGGTGATAATAATAGCTGTGTCTGAGGTTATTATGTGGGTGAGATGAACTTTTTTGGGGGGGCGGGGGAGGGTCCGGTCGTGGGGTCTGAACTCTGGGCCTGGGCGCTGTCCCTCAGCTCTTCAGCTCAACGCTAGCACTCTTCCACTTGAGCCACAGCACTACTTCCAGCTTTTTACCACTTGAG